AGATAATTATTAAAGCCTGTTATCGTGACAGCTCGTGCTCCCAGAACAATATGACTCGACGAATCTCCAGAAAGGCGAAGAAAGTCTTGTCTGAGAACAGACTGTATGTGTGGAATTTCACGTGTGGTATTGTGATTGGTCTATTGTAAGCATAGATAGACTGTTCAAACCACATCTAAAATTTAATTTTTTTCAGAAGATTATTTTATAGTGGGATAATAGAATTGTACGTAAGATAACACGTTGCAGGATGTTTTAGTTAGTGGAAAAATTTAAGCTGCTTCGTACTGACATCAGTCGATCATTTTAAATGTAGGTGATTAATAACTTGGAATTACGTCCGTTGGCACGTGACTCGCGGATTATATATACAGTTTTTCCAATTCCTTACACGTTACCGTTAAAACTCCTGCCTTTTATACCAGGTAAACACTATTACTTTTAACTTGATAAAAAAAAATTGAAAATATGGTGAACCTTACACATAATCACTTTAAAATGTGTTTTTTTTTGTTTGTTTTTCTTTTGAACTTTTACGATAGGGCAAGAATCTTGTGTGAAGAATTCTGTCGAGGTAACGAATATTTGTTTGTTCTCTGGCGGTGGTTTTGGCAAATTAGCTTTCCGTGGAACAGCCTCTTGGTTTGTTCGCAAGGGTACATATCATATAGAATTAACTCTTGAACGTCGACTATAGGCCTGTGGATGATCTAATTTTCGCCGGAAAGTCTCACCTAAAAGAGTTTATTTGACTCGGAGTTTTATAGGTGTTGCTGTATAAAACTACTTTGGAAGATGTACTTTTCGCCGGAAAGTCTTACCTAAACGAGTTTATGTTTTATAGATGTTACTGTATAAAACTACTTTGGAAGATGTACTTTTCGCCGGAAAGTCTTACCTAAACGAGTTTATGTTTTATAGGTGTTACTATATAAAACTACTTTGGAAGATGTACTTTTCGCTGGAAAGTCTTACCTAAACGAGTTTATGTTTTATAGGTGTTACTGTATAAAACTACTTTGGAAGATGTACTTTTCGCCGGAAAGTCTTACCTAAAAAAGTTTGTTTTATAGATGTTGCTGTATAAAACTACTTTGGAAGATGTACTTTTCGCCGGAAAGTCTTACCTAAAAGAGTTTATTTGACTCGGAGTTCTATAGGTGTTGGTGTATAAAACTACTTTCACATGTGTCTGTTTGTAACGGTGATGTTTTTGAGGTTGGTAGACGACCATTGGGAGGTATCAAAATAATTAGACTGTTACTTGGTTTGGTTTGTTATGAATTTCGCGCAAAGCTACACGAGGGCTATCTGCGCTAGCCGTCCCTAATTTAGCAGTGTAAGAATAGAGGGAAGGCAGCTAACTCTTGGGCTACTCTTTTACCAACGAGTAGTGGGATTGACCGTCACATAATAACGCCCCCATGGCTGAAAGGGCGAGCATGTTTGGTGGGACGGGGAATCGAACCCGCGACCCGCAGATTGCGAATCGAGCACTCTAACCACCTGTCCATGCCGGTCACTCTTTCTGTACCCAACTTATAATTTAACAAGGGGGTGACAATGCGAAAATAGTAGCTTAGCTTGTTAAACACTTTTTGCGAATTCTCATCAGTTAAGGTAACTGACTAAAAACACCGTTGTCTTCTCTCGTGGCTGATGTTTAGATACAATACTAAGTTCTCTTCATACCACTTTCTTTTCTTATAACACCAGGTGTCGCCTAAATAGCTAACTTATATTTGTTTCTATTATACACTCGATTAATCTGAAATAGCCATAACTTAATCAATGTTTGTAATTAAAAATAAATGCATAAAAAGTTACACGTACATAAAACAACACCTATCAGACAGCTGAATTACAGAACAAAAACTTTGTTACAAAGAAAAGCTTACAAAACTAACAACAGGACATACTTCACGATATGCGGTATTTAGGAATTCTCTGTTCTCACATAAGCATTTGTATTATAATTTAATTTATCTTAAGGTGGAAGATTTACTGGAAAGTTAATTACAATTGTTCCGTCGAAAATATTTACTTATTTAATATTGATGTGAGCTATATTTTGCGGTTTTTTTTTATTCCGATGTCAGCCAGAGGGCGCACGACGTTAAGAATAAGTAAGATTGTGTGAATAGGTATAAAACGTTCTAAAGAACATAAAAAAAAAAGATCTAGTAAGTTTGCTAAGCACCTACAAACAAGACTATGTTATAAATACGAGTATCAGCTAGTAGTGAGTCAGCGCTTAGTTACAGTGGCAGAATACTAACGAAGTGTTTACTTTGAGTGAAATATTCGGATCAGCGTTAATTATTGCATATATGCAGTTACTCGATCGATTAGCCCTAGAGTCTTATAAGTACTTTATTGTGTACGTTTAATGTAGTACCGTTAAAGAGGTATTTCCGTTTCAAATTTATTTGGAAACTCGGCCAACAACTTTGTACAAGTTACAGCAACGTACAAGCTCGTAAAAAAATTAATTAGTACCGTTATATGAACTGGACTTGAAAAATTGTCAACAAATAATCTAAAAGAACCAGCACAACGAAAGGACGCTACAACAGTGTGTTTCCGAAATATGTACTTTAAAGCTTCCAACAAGTTCTAGTCTATCAAACAAAACAGTTTTGCAGCCAATAGAAAAGAAACAAAACTACTGTAGTCTTGTTTGTTTTCATAGCTTGCTTATCATGAATAAAACATTAACTTAGGAGCTAAGCTGGATGTAAATTGGTTGTACAGCACAAGAATAAAATGATTTAATGTGAGTAATGCCAAGTTGTCTTATTTTGCTTACTGTTTGAGCATAATCAGAATTTTTGGATGGACATACATACGTACATATATATATGTGTTTGTTTTTGTACTTTTCTGTTTTAATATTGTTTACAAAAAATATTATAGAATGTTTTATATAAGTCGTGATTTTAACAGAATTTCTTTTTCTTTATTATTTTAACCTTAATTGAATAATAACACGTTTCTGTCGACCACTCAACGATCGAATGTGCAGCGTAGGGGGTCGTTGTGTAAGCACGTGCGAGGTACAGCTACGTACCTGAAACACTATACTCGTGTATTATACGTCGTCTTTTGATACTTATAAATGAACTGAACAAAGAAGCATTTTGACCTTGGTCAACATTTTATGTAGTTTGTTGTTAACTGTTTGTGTTACTGAAATATTGGGTGTCACGAGACTTAATAGAATAAGACATCCAAATGTCGAAATGTTGTCGATGAAGGAATGTTACCAATTTAAGTTATTTTCAATATAATACTGATATCGCTATTTACTGTTAACCATTTCACATTAAGTGGGTGTAGTTTGTATCAGATAATTGTTGAGGTTCCTAAACATTTGAGATTGTTTTTTTGGTCATTGATTCTGCAAATAAAAATGGAAATATTAAAAAAGAAACCAAAACCTCTGATCGTTTCATTGTTTGGTATAATTATTCGAACGCTTACAGAACTCGTGGTAGTAAAAAGCCACGCTCTGTGTCCCGAGATAGAAACTTCGAGTAAGTATGTCTTTGTATATGTACATAGGCGAGATTACGGGAGGAGGCAAGAGGGAGTAGTTGCTCCCCACTTTTTCTGTGCGATATAGCATACACGTGATATTCACAATAATTAAGTCAGACTTTTTTTTTTTCGCCCCCCCCCCTCCCCACACACACATTTTGGTGTCAAATCCCTCCCATGTAAACATTTCAACTATTGAAATATAATATTTTTCGAGGAGTGAGAGCAGGAGAAAAATTCTGCCGGTACTCAATGAGTACCGGAACTTATTTGATCTGCTTTGTCGTTTTTTTACGTTTACACGTAGTTTTTGTTATTATTCAAAAACAGGTCCACTTTAACCACCTGAGTACCTCTGCTCTTTTTTTTGACAATTTCACCCCCGACTAACAAGTACACCCCCTCCCCCTTCCTTTAGTGTAAGTAATGTTGTTCAGGTCCTCTTGATCTGGAAAACATCCACTCCCACTCTTCTGACCGCGACTGCAGGTGATGTTTCTAGTAAACAATTAGTATTGTCAGAACTAGAGTTGACGACAACCGTACAACAGACGTTTCAAAGCAAAGGTTGAAACGGTTTTTATCGTGTCTCAGGTTACGAATTCTTGAGACCAGGGGGGGTCGAATTACCCTCTAATTTTCTGAATATATTTTTCGATCATACATGATAGATCGGTTGTTCTCAGTAGTTTTCGAGTGGCTGTATTTAATTATTCCGAGCTGCACTGACATTTCTGAAACCGTAGAATTATTTAGTTATCTATGGGTTAAAAGCTAAACGAAACTTTTTCATTCTGAGACTCGAGTAACCAATTCATGATACGTTTTTTTTTGTATTGCATGTGTACGATCTATACATAACTTACGCTGACGCTTTAACATTTCCTGTTCTTCCCACAGCGTTTGAATGAATCAGTTCTCTCCTCTTCGCGTCATGGTTACGCATGAGAACGTAAATATTTTTTATTCATTGGTGTTGTGAGTGTTGTACACCGAAATATGGTGAACTGTTGTCATGTCCTTTGTAAGGCCATGGTGCATTCAGTAGTGACCACCTGCTTTTATTAATTGTACGCTCGTGTGATCACAGGAATTTTTGAGTAGACGTTTAAATCCTTTTTTGACCATTTTTTGTTTGTTCCAAAGTTCTAGAAATTAAACGTCAAGGTCACTGGGAGTGGGTCAGTATTATAAGACTGTCAGATCACTTAGAACAGATGTCAGTTTGTGTTGTTGTTACCAACAGATGAAAGTATAGGCGAGTCCATGTTTCAGCTGAGGTGTGATACATATCTTTGATTAGACGGCTCACTTCTTTTTTTTAATATGATTAATATTAGATTGTGTGAAGTTTAGTTAACCATCAAATACTGACTGCATCATATTTGATAATTTTGTCTTTTAACACTTAGTGTAAAGAGCTGTCAACAATGAGTGAAATCTCTCTTTTCTGTGTACAGTCCATAGGAGAATATCGGTCAGGGGCGTGACCTAGAGGTTAGCGCGCTTGAAATGTAAATACAAGGGTTCGTGGTTCATTGTCGCAAAAGTACGCCCCGACCTTTGGAGTCATGAGCGCGCATAAGAATGATGGTTAAATTCCACTAATCTATCAGGCAAGAGTAGTCCAAGAGTTGGTGGTGAGTGTTTTTGAATAGGTGCCTTCCTTGTAGTCTGTCAGTTCAGAATTGAAAAAATATAGCTTAAAGAACTGCAACGGTAATTAATGAGATTAATGGTGTTGTTAGTTGTATTATTGTTACTTTTTTTATGACTTATATATGTTACCTGATGTACTTCTGCAGGGTCCCCGAAAGTGTTGTTTTAAGAGTAAATAAAACCAAAATTAAGAGTTACAAATGTTTTTATTTCTTGCTTTTGAAGTTCATATGACATGCTGTGTTGTGCATAATTCTTTTCGTGATTCATGCATGCACACATTTTACTGACGTCACGATAGTAAAAATTACAAAGTTAAGCGTTCCTTATATGATGTCAGTTTAGTGTCTACTGACTGACTGACAAACACACTATTGTATAGTGGATGCGAGTGGTTAAAACAGGTGATCCCTCTAGGCTGCCTTCGGCCCCCTTACGGGGAAATTGAGGAACATTTAGCCAACAAAGTTATAAACTTGGTGTATAAGTAGTTTATAAAAACCTGTTCAAAAACTAACACGGATTTGGTATTTCTAGGATTAAGAGAAGACTATAATATAATTAAGTAAAAGTACCGTTTTTGCACTTCAAACAAGTAGTTCTAGTTTCTTTTGTGTAAAACATAACTTCATTATGTAATGGGCGCAAGGAAACTGAAGTGACTTCAACATCCCTTCCTCCCAATCTTCATCAACCGACGAGGTAACGAAGCGTCTCCAAACATTTCCCACAATGCCTCAAATGAACAAGCCTCAACCTTTTACCAGTTCCTAAGTAACTAAAATGTTTTTATTTAACATTACAGAACTATTAACGGCCCTACCATAGCAATGTTTAGGGTTAGGAATTGCGAAACAGCGTTATCGTTTCAGTTGTGCAGTTTTATCGATATCATTTGGCTATAGCTTACTGGAAAAACAGTAAAAAAAATTGTTCGATAACCAGTTAATTTGAAATAATTTGTGCTTCAAACAGTAAATTGACAAACAAATAGCGGTTTTTGAAATTCGTTTGTTAAATTGTTTTATCATGATTTAAGTCTTAAAAGCAAAGTTTGGTGTGATTGTTTTAGAACTGGTATTTCTTTAAAAAATTACAAAAGGTCAAAATTTGTAACATTTATTATGTGTCCAGGTTAACCTTTTTCTAGGCATGTGATGTTGTACATTTTTTATGTTCATAATTGTACAGAAAATCCAGTAACACTGATTTTGGACAAGATCTAATTTGTCTAATCACACCAAAACGATTATATAATGAGAAGAACGCCGGTTCATTGGTGTTTTAATATGAATGTTCTAGCCAAACCATTAAAGTATTGTAAGATGCAGCCCCAAGCTATCAAAACAATAATGTTGAGACAACGACGTAGTAGGTAATTTGCGTGGAACGACCTCTTGTTGTAACTTTATGTACTATTTGCCATCTAAAGAGTTAAACTGTAGACTGACAAATCCTTACTTTCTCAACAATTTTTCGGACGAAAGCATCAAGTTTTTATATCAATAACCGATAGTGCTACCGAAACGCTAGTTTTTTATATCAATAACCGATAGTGCTACCGAAACGCTAGTTTTTTTATATCAATAACCGATAGTGCTACCGAAACGCTAGTTTTTTATATCAATAACCGATAGTGCTACCGAAACGCTAGTTTTTTATATCAATAACCAATTTGAGCGTCAAATTAGATTTTGAATACGAGTTATTTAATCTCATCGGGGGGGGCTTACTAAGTGCGACGGTAACTTAGTACTGGCCCCCGCTGATAGAGGAAATTCGGGGTAAAACGTCAAGTTATAGTTTGTTTTATGAAATTCAAATACCACGTGCGTTATTGATATGCTTCAGAACTTTGTGACAGTACTATTTGTTCATGGCATTTTTATGCGGCTGAGTTTTTTCTCTCCATTCAAATTTGTTCTATACTTTTTTTTCTTCTATAAACATAATGTGGGATAGAGAAAGTTTAATGGTAAAGCTCAGTCCAACACATGTAAGTCTACCACTTCAAAATTAGTGAAGGCTAGCGCAGATAGCCTTCGAGTTACTTTGTGCGAAATTGGGCAAACAAAACTTTTTCTTCTTTCTGTGTCTTCCTTTTACAAATGAGTTAACTGAAGTGGTAATCGCACGAAGTACATTAATACTGGCAGTGTTTATGGTATAAGATACAACATATGTCATTATAATGTCTCGAATATCATGAGGCAAAAACCGTAAGATTATTAAAAAGTGAAAGATTATAAGATGACCACACACATGCACGTACTGAAATACTGTTCTGGAACACAGATAGCCAATTGTTTAGCGTTGTGCTTAACTTCAAACAAACAAATCCATTGTTCGATGGTACTTATACTATCAGAAACCGTGATATTTTTCAGTCTTTTTTTTTTTATTTTTAGCCGCGACATAGTGGCTCTTAGAATGACTGAGTTTTATTTACAAGAACAAGCTTATAGATCACAGCTCCATATCTTGACAGATCTCATTACAGCCGCGGCTATTGAGGATTCCCCTTGTTTTAATTGTAATTATCACGTTATTGCCTTATTTGTTTGATAATACATATGTACCTCATATAACTGCAAGAAAAATTAATGTTTCGACCCTTTTGGAACTTAGAAGAGTAAAAGGGGTTTCAATCCGAGAAAAGAGGTCAAGAAAAACATAATAAACTGTAGTGAAAGCCCCCGCCCCCATACTCGGTGGCTCTGTGGCTTGTATAAAGATGGGGTTTCCATACTTGTGCTGTGCTTTGTGCTTAATATAGGGTCAAGAAATGTGATAATCTGTTGTGATAGAGGGCCAAGAAATGTTGATAATCTGTTGTGATAGAGTGCCAAGAAATAATAATAATCTGTTGTGATAGAGGGCCAAAAAATGATAATAATCTGTTGTGATAGAGGGCCAAGAAATGTTGATGATCTGTTGTGATAGAGGGCCAAGAAATGATAATAACCTGTTGTGATAGAGGGCCTAGAAATGATAATAATCTGTTGTGATAGAGGGCCAAGAAATGATAATAATCTGTTGTGATAGAGGGCCAAGAAATGATAATAATATTTTTGTGATAGAGGGCCAAGAAATGATAATAATATTTTTGTGATAGAGGGCCAAGAAATGATAATAATATTTTTG